CCCCCTGGAGGGTGATTTCTCACTTTCTATCTCTCTGTCTCTCTCTCTCTCTCTGTCTGGCGAGCACACAAGCCCTATAGCAAAAAACTCTAAAAAAAAAAAAAAAAAAAAAGATGCACAGAAAGAGGAACACCAAACAAAAGAATGATGAAAAGACTCCATAGGCACAGGACCTGCCTATCTGTTGGACAAAGGACAGTCCCAAGCTAAAGTATTTTCCAACATGATTAAACAAAAACGGAAAGAGAAAGCAGTAAAATGAGAAGTCCCTCTACAGAAAGTTCAAGCCCAGGAAGAAACAAAAGTATTAAAAGTTATTCGAACAGAAAAGAGAAAGATGTGGAAGAGGGTGGTTACAAAAGTCTGCCTTGTTGGAGATGGCTTTACTAGAAAAGCACCTAAATATGAAAGACTCATTAGGCCAATGTGCTTACGTTTTAAGAAGGCCCACCGAACACATCCTGAACTGAAAGCCACCTTTTGCCTGCTGATACGTGGTGTGAGGAAGAATCCCTCATCCCCACTATGTACAGCTCTGGGTGTTATCACCAATGGTGCTGTCGCTGAGGAGAACGTGAGTGAGCTGGGCCTTGTGACACAAGGAGGCGAGGTTATCTGGGGGAAATATGCCCAAATTACCAACAATCCTGAAAACAATGGAAACACAAATGCTGCCTTACTGGTTTGACAGCAGTTGCATACAAATGCTCCTTGTAGTGTTTGAAGATAATACACCAATCTAAAACCAGCATGACTGTGATGTTTCTTTTTGCTTTTTTTTTTGGAGAGATTTTTGCTATAGGGCACATGTACTTGCCAGAAAGACAGAGAAAAACAGAGAGACAGAAAGTGAAAAATCACCCCGAGGGGGGAATGGTCACACCACAATCCCTTCTCCTCCATTCTCCTCTCAGAATCTTGGGCATGCATGCACACACACCCAGCATGAGTTTAAGCCACCGGATCTGGGACTCGAACCATGGTCAACTACATAGGAGTCCAATAACATAGACATTACACCAACTGCTGGTCCCCAGGCTGTGATGTTTCTGAATATAGCCAGTCTTACGTGTTTGCAGTCATCAAAAGATTATTTATTAAACTGTACAAAAACATTAAAGTGGCCTGGTTTTACAAATTAAAAAAAAAAATCAGTTTTCTCGTCTAGACCCATAAGTTACTAGAGGCAGCAAAAACTGAAAGAAAATTGAAATGAAGGCATAGGGTAGGGGATATTTAGAATTTGGAACACAGATAAGTGTTTGATTTGGGGGCCAACTGGTACTGTGGAGGTTAAGGCAGCTGGATCCCACATGGCTGACTGAGTGGTTCAAGTTTGGATCTGGAGGATTGAAAAGTACTCCAGGAGCATGTGCGTGCATACCCAAAATCCCAAGAGGAGAATGGAGGACAAGGGACTGTGATGTGGCCATCCCGCCCCAGGGAGTGCTTTCTCACTTTCCCTTTCCCTGTCTCTCTCTCTCCAGCAAGCACACACACTCTACAGCAAATTTTTAAAATAAAAATAAATTTAAAAAAGAACTTGAGTTAAGAAAAGAAAAAAAAAAAGCTATAAAATTCAGAGCCAACAGACCAGCAGTTGGTGTAGTGGCTATGTCGCTGGACTCCTACTTGACCATGGTTCGAGTCCTGGACCTGGTGGCTTAAACTCAGGCCGGTCGCAGTACATGCATGTGTGCCCACCCAAGATCCCAAGAGGAGAACGGAGGAGAAAGGATTGTGGCATGGCCATCCCCCTAGGGGGTGATTTCTCGCTTTCTGTCTCTCTGTTTTTCTGGTGTGCGCACGCACCCTATAGCAAAAACCTCTAAAAAAACCCCCAAATAACCCAGAGCTACATGGTAAAATGAATCAGTATTGTTATGACTGCATCACAGTGCTCCAGCATAGTTAACTACATTTATATCTTTAACGAGGTTATTGGATTAGTGCATTCTAAAACCCAAAAGCCACATTTCGGAATGGTCTATAAAAATTTAGCTTAAAAATATGGCCCTTTGACCAGCAGTTAGCGTAATGGCTATGTCACTGAACTCCCATGTAGTCGACCACGGTTCGAGTCCTGGACCCGGTGGCGTAAACTCACGCCGGGCGTGTGTGTGTGCGTGCCCAAGAACCAGAGAGGAGAGTGGCAGAGAAGGGCTTGTGGCATGGCCATCCCCCCCGGGGGGTGATTTCTCGCTTTCTGTCTCTCTGTCTCCCTCTGTCTTTCTGGTGGAGTGTACGCACCCTATAGCAAAAACCTCTCAAAAAAAAAAAGGCCCCTTGAGCCAGCCATGGAAGTTAAAGCATCTGGATCCCACACGGCCAACTGAGCAGTTCAAATCCTGGACCCAGAGGCTTTTAAACACACTGGGTGTGTGTGCGTGTGTACCCAGAATCCAGAGAGGAGAATGGAGGAGAAAGAACTGTGACATGGCCATCCCCCTGAGGAAGAGGGGATTTCTCACTTTCCCTCTTCCTGTCTGTCTCATTCAGGTGAGTGTACACACCCTATTGCCAAAAAATAAAATTAAATTAAATTAAAAAAAAGAAAAGGCCCTTAGGTTGAGAAGTTGAGGCACTTGCTGGACTTCCAGAGCTGGAAAACTCTAGACCCTGGTTGCCATCTCCCTGCTCAGGCCCAGTTCCCTCCTACCACCTCTGTACTGCTAATACTGGCTCCTACGTGAGTTTTCACTTTTCTCTTTAAAAACTACAAATAATCAAAGGCCTCTTGAATTTCTGACTTGCCCTTAAAATCGCTTTTGTAAAATAATACTGAGTAAACCGGTTGTTACCACGGATAGCCCTCTTCTCCTTTTCTATTGCTGATAAATAAAGCATGGCATACTTTGAACTACCTAGATTAAATAAGAGTGGGACTATAATTACCTCCCAGAAAGATCATTTCGATTTTTTTTTTAATCCTAATTTTTTCAAAATCAAGATGAGAGGGACTAGCGGATGGTGTAATGGTTACGTTGCTGGACTCCCACATAGTGAATCGCAGTTCAAGCCTCAGACCTGGTGGCTGGGGGGGTGAATTTTCTATTTCCATTTCTCTGTCTCTCCTGTGAGCACATGTGCCCTATAGCAAAAATACTCTCTCTTAAAAAAAAAAAAACAAGATGAACTATGACTCCTTCTATGGCCACTCATATTCTATTAGGACATTTATCAAACACATTATTACATTTCATAGTAATTTTAAAACTTCTGTTTACTCAGGCATAGTTTATACATTGTAAAGTGCACACATATTCCAGTGCTTATTGTTTAGGGGACAGTGTATTTTTTTAGACAGTCTCACTGAGTCATGATCCTCCTGCCCAGCCTCCCAAGTAGCAGGGAGTGGACCCCCACACCTGGCTTTTTTAGAGCAGGCTGAGAATCGAACTCAGACCACGACACAGCCCCAGCCTGCCAAGCAGCGTGTCTGGCATGATGCCGCAGCTGGGCCTGCTGATTTTCACATACGTACGTGTCTGTGTAGCCTCCACTTTGATCGATATCTGTCACATTCCACCTTCCAGTCCCAACAGGTTTCTTCTTCCAGTTAATACCGCGATAGGGCAGCCACCATTCCATCCTCGCTGCTCCGGCTTCTGTCGCTGTGCACTAGCTCTGCCTGGCCTCGAACTTCTTATAAATGGAGCCACACAGTGTGTACTCTTTTGCAGCTGGCTTTTTGCTCAACGCCATGTTCTGGGATTCTTCCAGCTTGCTGTGTGAATTAGTTACCCCTTATCATTTTGGGGGGAAAAAAAAGATTTTTGCCATAGCGCAAATGTGTTCACCAAAGAGACAGAGAGACAATGAGAGGAAAAGTGAGGAATCACCCTCATGGAAGCGGGGGATGGCCATGCAGCAATCCCTTCTCCTCCATTCTCCTGGGATTTGGGGCTCAGATGCACACGTATCCCACATGAGTTCCAAGTCACTGGGTCTGGGACTTGAACTGTTGCTGGCCATGTGAGAGTCCAGCACCTTAACTATCACTCCACCTGCTGGCTGTGTAGTAGTCCATTGTTAGCAGGGGATAATTAAAAAATTGTAATTTTTACAGGTGGTTAGACATACAAATTTATAGTAGATACTCCCCTTCTAAAGGCAAGTTAATATCACAATAAATATTGGAAAGATAATTCTTCAGAGGGATAATTTTATAACTTTTTCTTTTAAACACTTTTTTTTATTTTAAAGAATTATTTTAGTTAACTTTATTAATTTATAATTTGACCAGAGAGGGACAGAGAGAGAGGAAAAGTAAGAAAGCAAGCCGCCAGCTCTGGGCCTTGAACCACAGTCAGCCAATGTGGGAGTCCAGCGCCCTTTAACACGCCACTTTTAAAGACTTTTTAAAAGCAATTTTGGAATAGATGATCCAGTCGTACATCACTTAGTGACGGGGATATGCTCTGAGAGGTGTTGCTCAGTGGTCTTGTGTTGTGAACACCGAGTGAACTCACGCACAACTGGCTGGTACAGCCTGATACATGTGTAGGTACGCCTCCATGCTCCCCACGGGACTGCTCGGACATGTAGTCTGTTCTTGACTGTGCATGGATCGTTATACAAAATCCAGAAGAATCCCAGGGGTGTGCAGTGAAAAGGAAGCCTTTCTTCTGCCCTGTCCCCATCCCTGGTGCTCCCACGGACAACCAGTGCTTCCGGGTTGAATGAATGAACGAATGAATGGATGGATCTCAAAACATGGCGTTGAGCAAAAAGCCAGTTGCAAAAGAGTACACACTGTGTGGCTCCATTTATAAGAAGTTCGAGGCCAGGCAGAGCTAGTGCACAGCGACGGAAGCCAGAGCAGCGAGGACGGAATGGTGGCTGCCCCGACGCGGGATTAAATGGAAGAGGAAA